AAAGCTCCTGGTGGTGTAATGATGGGCTGTACAGTCTAGAGTGGGCTGCCATGACTGCCCTCGACAAGGCACGAGGGAGGAGAAAGTCTGACAGCCTCGCTGAAAGCAGGCAATTTAGATGCATTTAGTCCTGCTCTCAACCCTTCCACTAGCACAGTGGCCATGTGTCCACAGTTCTCACCCCCAGCGTCCCCTCTGCAAGTCCTGCGGATGCTTTTCTGGCAGGACTCACCTACTAAGGCCACTGGAGCTTGACCGAGATTGGGGTCATTTTCATTTTCTGAGACTCTCAGCCAATAAAAAAAGAAAGAAAGAAAGAAAGAAAGAAAGAAAGAAAGAAAGAAAGAAAGAAGAAATGGCCAAAAGGATTAGCAGAGCCGTGTCTGGAATCTGGCCACTGAACAAGTAAACATTCTAACAAACACCGAGCCCTGTAATCACACTGGTCACAGATAATTACAAGATTCATAGACAATATTAATTCGTAATGCAACTGCAGATGGTGTAGTCCGGGAATGGAACGCATACGGCGACCGTATGAAAAACAGCGTTCTTTATGCATAAGTGACTTGGACAAGGCTAAATTTGGGCAACTTTCTAAACGTGAAGCAGGACACAAGACCCGTTCTTTCTCTGGCCTCTCGGCCCAGTTACTCAGCCTGGAGCAGGAGGGGCTTGGTGTGCAGCCCCCTATAGCCCATGCCTGGGTTCTGCGCCCCTCCTGGGTGCGTTTTACAGGGTCTCAATTGAGAACATTCCAATCTAAGTCATATTCGTGGTTTGACTGTTTGTTCCTCGGTTTATGGCACCACTTGGGGAAGCCCTGGAGCGGACAGGAGGTGGATCCGGTTGCAGGAAGCAGGCAGTGGAAGTGGGCTTTGACAGACAGACTGATAAACTGTTTTGGGGGTTTTTGTTGTTGTTGTTGTTTGGGGTTTTTGGGAGTTTTTTTTTTTTTGGTTTTTTTTTTTTTTTTTTTTTTTTTTTTTTTTTTTTCCCCTTCCTCGATCTCACACTTCCATGCCCACCAACCATCCGTGCCTTTTTTGCCACGATGGACTAAAAACCTTTGACCCATGAACCCAGATGAGCCTTTCAAGAAGTTTCTGTCAGATATTTTGGTCGCAGCCATGTGGAAGAACCTAGTAAATCAATGGACGCAGTTTGGGTTATTGTATTAAAACAAAAAGGGAGGGGGGATTTTCGTCTACTTCTGGAGTTGTGATGAGGGATTAAGAGACAGAGGTGAGGACTCCAGGACATGGAGGCACAGGTTCTGAGCCAGGAAACGCGTTCTAGGTGAGGCAGGTGGGTTTTCAGCCACCAATGTAGAAGTGCAAGCTTGGGTGAAGGACCTGGGAGTTATGGGACAAGCCCAAGAGATGGATCCTGGACAAGAATGAGGATTCTAGGCCATGGCAGAGATGCATGCTGGGATTGGAAGCAGTAGGTTCGAGGACAGACACAGATGGGGTGTGGGCTGGCATCCCACCCCACGCTCCCAGAACGCCCATGCACTGTTCCTCGGAGCCCACGCTTCCCCGGGCGCTTGCAGCATCGTGTCCCCAGGCCCGGCTCAGTAGCCCCTTTCCCCACTGTGAGCTGGGCAGAACCGGCCGCTGCTGGCTAGACTGGGCCTCCCTGTGGGCAGGCGCCAGGTCTGCAACAGCTCCAGTCGGCAGCGCCCAGGCAGAGCACAGAGCCTCAGATCTTCCAGGCTGTTCCATTTGCAGTTTCATCCCACGTGTCCGCGGGGCCTCAGAAGTGTGAGTGGGATCCATCACAGGCAAGAGGGGCAAAGGAAAGGACACCGAGGGGACGAGATGCGGGAGGAAGGACTGAGCGGAGGGGATGC